TGGAAGCAGTCTTTGAGGCAGAGACCAGGTTGGCCAGCATATCACCACATCAGAAGCACAGATATACGTATATTTAAGTGATTTGTGCAGGGAGTCCACCCTGTAGCAGTAAAACTGCTATGGGGCAGAGGAAAACTGGTTAATTTACTAGTCCCTCTAACATCACCCTCTCCACAAAGTGACAATGCTGCTTTCCAAGTGTGGCTACATTGCTCCTCCATAGCTACAGTTGTACTCAAGTTTGCTAGTGGTTAGACCATTATTTGCTACTTACCTGTGACACAAGAAGCGTTAAATTAATTGAATGCAATGCTGGGCTGTAGTGGCCATTTTGGGGAAGTCTCAGTGGGGAATTTTGGAGAAGACCATGAACAATGCTTGGCTATGGAGTGTCTTCAACCCTGAGGATGGCCATTGTAATTGAGTCAATATGTATGCTGGATGGATTGTAATTAGCTGAAAGAGGACACATAGGAAGGGGATATGGACTGGTGGGCATCCAGGGACCAAACAGCTTGCTGGGAGGAACTGAGACATGTGGGGAACGTAGTTCCAGGGAGAGTGAGCCTTTGTTGGTTCTGGTACTAAATATCCCAGCATTACTACAGTTCTGTGGAGAGGAAAAGGAACGTCCGTTCCCGGGCTTGTGGCTGATGTGGTGAGGAAATGTGGGAGACTGTGCTCCAGGCTGTTAGTAAAGCATTTTGACACCGCAACAGAGATGCAGAGAGGTGGAGTAGCATACATCTCCTGACACATGAGAAGGTCACTGTCATTGGCTGGTGATGCCACATGATCATTATTATTATTATTATACAGTATTTATAAAGCACCAACAGTTCGCTCAACGCTGTACATCACAATGGGAGACAATACATGAGACAGTACAATAACAATACAATGCGATACACGAGGGCTTCGAGGGTCCTGCTCCTCGGAGCTTACAATCTAGGAGGGAGGGGATAGTGGTACAGGAGGAAAAGCTGTGGGGGATGGAGTGGTAGGAAGAGTGGAGGAGGTCAGCAATTAGCAGGGGGTGGGGTAGGCTTCCCTGAAGAGGTGGGTTTTCAGGGTGCAGCTAAAGGAGAGAGGAGAGTAGGTGATAGTCTGATGGATTGGGGTAGGGAGTTCCAGAGGATGGGTGACGCCCTGGAGAAGTCCTGGAGGCGGCCATGGGAGGAGGAGACCAGGGAAACTAGAGAGAAGGAGGTCTTGTGAGGAGCAGAGAGTGCGGTTTGGGTGGTATTTGGATATTAGGTCGGTGATGTAGTTTGGGGCAGTATGATGAACAGCTTTGTACGTCAGTGTTAGGATTTTGAATTTGATCCGTTGGGCAATCGGAAGCCAGTGGAGGGATTGGCAGAGGGAAGTGGCGGAAACGGAGCGGTTGGTAAAGTGGATGAGTCTGGCTGCCGTATTCAGGATCAACTGAAGCGGGGATAGCCTGCAGTGAGGGAGGCCAGTGAGGAGGGAGTTGCAGTAGTCCAGTCGTGATATGATGAGGGAGTGGATGAGCTGCTTAGTGGTTTCTGGGGTTAGGAAAGTGCGTATTTTGGCGATGTTGCGGAGGTGGAGTCTGCATGAGTTCGTTAGTGATTGGACTTGGGGCTGGAAGGATAGATTGGAGTCAAGAATGACACCAAGTACTCTGGCCTGCATGGCGGGTCTGATGGTGGCATTGTTGGACGTGATGGAGAAGTCAGTAGGGGGTGGTGTGCGGGCTGGAGAGAATGCTGCTGCCACTGACACAATTAAACCACAGAGAGAAAAATGAAGAAGACCAGCTATCACCCTAGGAGTTGGTTAGAGACTGTAAGCCAAATCCCACTATAACTTATTAAGGCAAAACAGTAATGTTTGTTCGGGACAGTGCAGGCACCTACAGTGCCTTGAAAAAGTCTTCATAGCCCTTGAAATTTTCCACATTTTGTCATGTTATAATCAAAAACATAAATCTATTTTATTAGGATTTTATGTGATAGACCAACACAAAGTGGCACATAATTGTGAAGTGGAAGGAAAAATGGTAAATGGTTTTCAAACATTTTTTACAAATAAATTTCTGAAAAGTGTGGGGTGCATTTGTATTCAGCCTCCTTTACTCTGATACCCTAACTAAAATCTAGTGAAACTAATGCCTTGAGAAGTCACCTATTTAGTAAATAGAATCCATCTGTGTGTAATTTAATCTCAATATAAATACAGCTGTTCTGTGAAGCTCTCAGAGGTTTGTTAGAGAAATTTGGTGAACAAACAGCATCATGAAGGCCAAGGAACACACCAGGCAGGTCAGGGATAAAGTTGTGGATACGTTTAAAGCAGGGTTAGGTTATAACAGGCCGGTCAAGGACAGCATTCATCAGAGAAGCGTCCAAGAGGCCCATGGGAACTCTGGAGGAGCTGCAGAGATCCACAGCTCAGGTGGGAGAATCTGTCCACAGGACAACTATTAGTCATGCACTCCACAAATCTGGCCTTCATGGAAGAGTGGCAAAAAGAAAGCCATTGTTGAAAGAAAGCCATAAGAAGTCCCATTTGCAGTTTACGAGAAGCCATGTGGGGGACACAGTAAACATGTGGAAGAAGGTGCTCTGGTCAGATGAGACCAAAATGTAACTATTTGGCCTTAAAGCAAAACGCTATGTGTGGTGGAAAACTAACACTGCACATCACCCTGAACAAACCATCCCCACCGTGAAACATGGTGGTGGCAGCCTCATGTTGTGGGTTATGCCTTTCTTCAGCAGGGACAGGGAAACTGGTCAGAGTTGGCGGGAAGATGGATGGAGCCAAATACAGAGCAATCTTAGAAAAAAAATTTGTTACAGTCTGCAAAAGATTTGAGACTGGGGCGGAGGTTCACCTTCCAGCAGGACAACGACCTGAAACATCCAGCCAGAGCTACAATGGAATGGTTTAGAGCAAAGCATATGTTGGAATGGCCCAGTCACAGTCCAGACTGAAATCCAATGGAGAATCTGTGGGCAGACTTGAAAATTGCTGTTCACAGACGCTCTCCATTTATTCTGACAGAGCTTGAGCGATTCTGCAAAGAAGAATGGGCAGAAATGTCCTTCTCTAGATGTGCAAAGCTGGGAGAGACATCCCCAAAAAGACTTCCAGCTGCAATTGCAGCAAAAGGGGGTTCTAGAAAGTATTGGCTGAACACAAATGCTACCACACTTTTCACAGATTTATTTGTCAAAAATTTTGAAAAACATTTATGATTTTCCTTCCACTTCACAATTATGCGCCACTTTGTGTTGGTCTATCACATCAAATCCCAATAAAATACATTTACATTTTTTGGTTGTAACATGACAAAATGTGCAAAAATTTCAAGGGGTATGAAGACTTTTTCAAGGCACTGTATACCAGGGTAGGAGGAATTTTACTACTTCAAGGCCGTATTTGGGCCCCAACGTACTGGCCAGTGGGGAAAGTGTTTGATAATGACTATCAAACTATTATCTTTGCCATTAAATAGAACCTTACTAAGTATAGGGTTTAGGGGTCATGCTCTGATCTGTTTGCTTATTACCAACTGAATACTCTTTTTTTGCTACAATTTTACTTATTTGTTTGATGGCTTATTGTCATTTAGCTTCCTTTGGTTATTGTAAAATTATATGTATTGTTGCAATAAATATCCCCTTTTTAGCCCAGGTGTGTCAGAGAGCATGGTGCCGCTTACAGAGTTGTGGGCTCTGGGAACAGGGGACTCAAGAATACAATGGCTCCTTTGAGGGTAAGAGCTACACAGTGGAGGAGTGAGAGTAGCCACCCTAAGGACTCATGTACACTGCAGCTGATAAACTCACGTTCAGGAGCTGTTCAGCGTTTTTTTTTCAGCAGCCCTTGAACTCACCCTAATGTTTACCTATGTGTACATGTACACATCTTCGTTTACAGTCGTTTACAGGCATTTATCAGCACTTCAAACGCAAACCGCTTATAAACGTGGCTAAACGCGGCAAATCGCGTTTATAAGCATTTGCATCTGAATTTTTTTATTTATCTCTTCCAGTTCCCGATGCTGTCCAGAGCCTTTTTTCATCATGAAAAATGCATGCAAAGCGTTTTCAAGGTGCTCAGATGGACAAAACACCGAACACAGGATGTTCCTACCAAGTTTGTCACACGTTGTAATGACCAATTCACACTTCAGACCTCTCCCACCTTTGGAAACAAAAGATATGTTAATGACCATTCACACCTCAAATTCCTTATGCAGACCCCCTGCCAGGTGGCCTTGGTGACTCCCTGCACCAGACACCTTTCCCACCCTTGGAAACAAAAGAAATGTTAATGAGCAACTCACACCTAAGCTAATCTCAACACATACTGTTGTCTCTGCTTCTACTCTCTGTATTTCTCTTAAACAGTCTGAAATAGTTAATAATTTACCACTTTTCAGTGCATTCTGGGCATTTGGGAGGTTCTTCTGTGCTTATCTTTAAAAACGCTTCTAAACGCAAATGCACATAAACACGCATAAACGGGGCTAAACAGACGTTTTTTAACCTATGTTTTCCATTGTTCAGAAGGGGCCTAAGGCAGGAAGTGTGTTACTGCCCATATCACCAGGTGAAATTGAAATGTAAAAAAAAGCTTAAAAGAGGAAAACTGCTACAGCTGTCAAATCTAAGGATTGCTTAACAACTGCACTATATTACATAATTGTTTTGGGGGGTTGACATACACTTTAACTTGTTTGGGAAGCTTCTGTAGCACACTACTAGATAGGTTACTTTTTAGGTTAGGTAAATTTAGTTCTTTAGACTCCTCTGTATTCAGTTGAGCAGCTTGTGATTGCTTTGGGTTGTTCTGGGTCTCACTGGTTGCAGGTTTGACTACTCTCCCCTGCATTCTGGAGGGTTCTGGAATGTAGTGGGCTGGGAGAGTCAGAATATTTATTTGGTCCCAGTCTGTGCTCCCTGTGGGAGGGTGCCCAGTAGGTGGCTGTGGAGTGCATAAACCAGGGCTGGACTGACAACTCATGGGCCCCCCGGGCAACAGGGGATCATAGGGCCCCTGTGTCCTTGCCCAAACTCAAAAAAGCCTATGAAAAAGGTACCAGGAGCATCTCATGGGGCCCCCTATTAACCCCGGACCCTCAGGCAGTGCCTGAGTTTCCAAATGGTCAGTCCGCCCCTGGCATAAACAGCCTAAGAGCTTTTGCAGCTGGGTTTCTGTCCAGAAGTTCACAGCCTGAAGGGATTCTGCAGTCCAGTTGTACTTCTACATTTGCTCATCGAAGTCCCGGCTATGCTAAATCTGGGGGGGCCTGTTCTATGCTCTTCGTGGTCCCAGCTGTCTTAGTGCAGGGGCCTATTCTACTGAATTAAGCTTGGAACTGTGTAAGGGATTTTACTTACCAAATCATCTTTCTACAAAACAAAAAGCATCTTTCTAGCCATTAACAAACACACCATTACTTCTGTTTTTTTGTGACCTCAACTCTAGGCAAAGATTGCATGATCTCATTAGAGACTGTAGAGGGCAGTGCTTTCTCCGAGGGAGATTATCAGTGGTCTTGTATGTCTTCCATTTTCTAATTATTGCTCCCACAGTTGATTTGTTCACACCAAGCTGCTTGCCTATTGCAGATTCAGTCTTCCCAGCCTGGTGCAGGTCTACAATTTTGTTTCTGGTGTCCTTCGACAGCTCTTTAGTCCTCACCATAGTGGAGTTTGGAGTGTGACTGTTTGAGGTTGTGGACAGGTGTCTTTTATACTGATAACAAGTTCAAACAGGTGCCATTGATACAGGTAATGAGTGCAGGACAGAGGAGCCTCTTAAAGAAGAAGGTCCAGGTCTGTGAGAGCCAGAAATCTTGCTTGTTTGTAGGTGACCAAATACTTATTTTCCACCATAATTTGCAAATAAATTCTTTCCAAATCAGCCAATGTGATTGTCTGGATTTGTTTTCACATTTTGTCTCTCATAGTTGAGGTCTACCTATGATGCCAATTACAGGCCTCTCTCATCTTTGTAAGTGGGAGAACTTGCACAATTGGTGGCTGACTAAATACTTTTTTGCCCCACTGTACGTGGCTTATCCAACATTTCAACCCCCCTTCCTTTTAGCGCCTGTCTGGGATTTCTTCAATGGGGGTTCGGACAGAGAGTAGCAACAGCCACACTGTTAGGCCTCATGTACACATGAACTCACCTAGTCGTTAAACTCTTCTGGCAACTAAACACAGCAAAAACGCGTGTAAACGCAGTTCCGCATTTACCCACGTTTAGTGCTTGGACATTTATTAATTTGATTGGCCAGAGTATTTTCCACTGACATGAATAAATACCCAAGCGCTAAACGTGGCTAGCGTTTAGCCGCATTTAGATGCATTCAGACACACTTTGGTCGCGTTTAGCTGTTTTTGGCCAAAACGTTCCTCTCCTGAATGCGATTAACTGCCCCTAAACTCTGCTGCTCCTAAACTCTGGTAAAAGCCTATGTGTACACAGAAACATAGGCTTTTATTGAGTTGAGTTCAGGGGCTTTGGCAAAAAAACGCCAAAAGCTCCTAAATTCACGATTAGGAGCAGCAGTGTACATGAGACCTCTTTCATCCCACCCGGTTAAAACAAAAATCTAGGGAGAACACTGAAGAGTCTGTTGTTTCACCCCCTTCCTGCCCAGGCCAATTTTCAGCTTGCAGCGCTATCAAACTTTGAATGGCAATTGCGCGGTCATGCAACACTGTACCCATATGAGTTTTTTTTTCACACAAATAGAGCTTTCTTTTGGTGGTATTTAATCCCCGCTGGGTGTTTTATTTTTTGCGTTATAAAAAAAAAAATAGCAACACATTTGTTTTTCTTTGTTTCTATTATAAAAGTTTGCAAATAGGTAATTTTTCTCCTTCACTGATGTGCATTGATGAGGCTGCACTGATAGGCAGCATTGATGGGCACTGATAGGCAGCACTGATGGGCACTGATGAGGTGGCATGGATAGGCAACACTGATGGGCACGGATAGGCGGCACGAATAGGTGGCATGGATAGGCGGCACTGATTGGCGGCACTGATGAGGCGACACTGATAGGTAGCACTGATAGGCAGCACTGACAGGCAGCACTGATGGGTGGCACTGACTGGCAGCACTGCTGAACGCTGGTGGCTTGATGGGCACAGGTTGGTGGCACTGCTAGGCACGAGTGGGTGGCATTGATGGGCACAGGTGGGTGGCACTGATGGGCACAGGTGGGCGGCACTGACATGCGGCACTGCTGGGCACTGATCAGTACCCTGATGATTATTGCCGATCTGTTCGCTGCCAATTGCAGGTTCTCGGCAGTACTTTCCTCATGCTGTGACAGCATGAGGAAAGTGCAGCCGAAAACCGGCAACTGTATTTACCTGGTGATCTGCTGTGTCATTGGACACGGCTGATCATGTGGTAAAAGGTCGCCGTGATTGGCCTTTTACCACGTCAATTGATCAGCTGTGTCCGTAGGAAACAGCGATCATGGAGATCGCCGGGTGCACACCCCCGGGACATGCGGGAGGGCGTGTTCTGGAAGGATGTCATATGACGCCCTCCCAGAACTGGACAACCGCGCTGTAGCCGTCATTATAGCGTGGTTGATCTTTTTCACACACATATTTAAGAGATATTTAATAGAAGGCACTTCCCCTTAAACCTCCACACCAAACTCGATCCCATGACTACCTACTACTGGAAATGTCACATTTAGCTTTCTCACTCTACTGGGTCTGGAGAGTTCACGGAATATATGTATGGCTGATATTGGAAGGAGGCACCCAAGCAGGGGCGGACTGACAACTCATGGGGCCCCCGGGCAATAGGTGATCATGGGGCCCCTGTGTCCTTGCCCAAACTCAAAAAAGCCTATGAAAAAGGTACCAGGGGCATCTCATGGGACCTCCTACTGACCCGGGCCCTCAGGCAGTGTCCGCGTTTCCAAATGGTCAGTCTGCCCCTGCACCCAAGTATCCAGGGACATTTATTATTATTATTATTATTATTATAGAGCATTTATATATTACCAAAGGGTTTACTCAGCGCTGTACATTAGAGTGGGGGACAAGACATGAGACAATACAGTAGCAAAACAATACACGATGCACGAGGGTTAGAGGGCCCTGCCCTTTCGAGCTTACAGTCTAGGGACATCTGTGAGTACAGACCCGAGAGTAGGATCTTGGTGACTTTGAGCTTCTATTATCCTGTTTTTTGCATTAGTCCCAGTGATTGCTCAAATTGGGGACTCTGTTCTTTAGTGGCTGTTGGAGGAACTGTTCTAAAAAGCTTTGTGAAAGTGACAAGTGTCCTTGTCTTTCTATTGTTGTGCCACTGAAGTATCCCACAGCTCCCCCCCACTCCCTGTCCAAGTCCAACTCAAAATAAATCATCAAGAAAGGATACCTCTAGGCTATTTATTGAGCCACTCATGTGCCTGGCTGCGGATACACGAGATTGGGAGAAGACCTTGGTGCAAAAGAGTGAATCCTTCCGGGGTAAGCACTACACTTCCATCTTTAGGATAGCCAATGAAGGGTTCTCCAAACCTTCCATATTGATGGTCTGCAAGTGCAACATTCTACCACAGAGATAACTACAATACAAAACTAATTAAAATATGCAACAGATTATTTCCAGGAATACAATGATTAGAGGAACATTTGAAAGCTTAGTCCCATTTATGGGAATTCTTGGTCTCTCTTGGGCAAACCAGCACAGTTCCCAACAGGATGGATTGAACTCATCTCATTAGCGAGCTATAAAACTCCTCCTGCTCTTGCTGGTTGTAGAGCCAGAGTTTGCCATAGCACCTGGCACGTGTCTGCGATTTATGGACTTCCAGGGGGGGTCAATATTTACTAGTCTTCTTTGGATAGTGAATATCACCATTGAAATAGTGGGCTGCAAGTGTGGATTGCAGTAGGGAGCTCTTCTAGAAATCTGGAGATGAGGTAAGGACATACATATATATCACAGTAGGTTTTTGTTACAGAAACTGGAGAGATTTCTTGTAACATGCATAGCCTGTCTAAAGGAGATCACATTTTATTGCGTGAGCAAATAAAATTAACGTTAGTTTTTAAATTTAATTAATTTAATTTCATTGAGTCCTCATGCACACGGGACGTTTTTACAGCGGCTGTTTTTGACTTTTGACGTTTTTTTCTACAGCTAGTAAACCCCCCAGCATGTTATCCTATGTGTTCATCCCCGGCATGTTATCCTATGTGTCCATCCCCGGCATGTTATCCTATGAGTGTCCATCCCCGGCATGTTCTCCTATGTGTCCATCCCCGGCATGTTATCCTACGTGTCCATCCCCGGCATGTTATCCTATGTGTCCATCCCCGGCATGTTATCCTATGTGTCCATCCCCAGCATGTTATCCTATGTGTCCATCCCCGGCATGTTCTCCTATGTGTCCATCCCCGGCATGTTATCCTATGTGTCCATCCCCGGCATGTTCTCCTGTGTGTCCATCCCCGGCATGTTCTCCTACGTGTCCATCCCCGGCATGTTATCCTATATGTGCATCCCCGGCATGTTATCCTATGTGTGTCCATCCCCGGCATGTTAACCTATGTGTGTCCATCCCCGGCATGTTATCCTATGTGTCCATCCCCGGCATGTTATCCTATGTGTCCATCCCCGGCATGTTAACCTATGTGTGTCCATCCCCGGCATGTTCTCCTATGTGTCCATCCCCGGCATGTTCTCCTATGTGTCCATCCCCGGCATGTTCTCCTATGTGTCCATCCCCAGCATGTTATCCTATGTGTCCATCCCCGGCATGTTCTCCTATGTGTCCATCCCTGGCATGTTCTCCTATGTGTCCATCCCCGGCATGTTCTCCTATGTGTCCATCCCCGGCATGTTATCCTATGTGTCCATCCCCGGCATGTTATCCTATGTGTCCATCCCCGGCATGTTATCCTGTGTGTCCATCCCCGGCATGTTATCCTATGTGTCCATCCCCGGCATGTTATCCTATGTGTGTCCATCCCCGGCATGTTATCCTATGTGTCCATGCACACATAGACTGTAATCAACTTTTTTTGGCTGAAAAAACCCAGAACTTGTGGGTTTCTAGAGGAGTTTTTTATCTGTAAAAACGCTCTAATGCTGAAAAACGCGGCAAAATGCAGTAAAACACCACAAACCAGTGTTCTTGGAAATTATTTTACCCCCCCACAAGCTAAAAGCAGAAACACGGAAAAACACTGCTAAACATGGAAAAATGCCGCAACATGCTAATGCAAAAACGCTAAAAAAAGCTGAAATAGTCTCGTTTTTAAAGCGACTTTACACAGCTAACGTTTCCAGCGTTAGCATAGCGCACAGTGTGCATGGAGCCTTAAACTTAAAAGAGTAATTGCAAAAAACAAACTTGTTTTAGTATCCTTCCAAATTATCTACAAACACATTGAAAACAATTGGAAATTTCTGGCATGTCCAATTATATATTTATTATTATTATTATTATTCAGTATTTATAAAGTGCCAACAGTTTGCGCAGTGCTTTGCAATGTAAAGGGAGACAGGACCAGGGGCAGACTGACAACTCATGGGGCCCCCGGACAATAGGGGATCATGGGGCCCCTGTGTCCTTGCCCAAACTCAAAAAATCCTTTGAAAAAGGTACCAGGGGCATCTCATGGGGCCCCCTACTGACCCCGGGCCCTCGGGCAGTGCCCGAGTTTCCAAATGGTCAGTCCGCCTCTGGACAGTACAGTTACAAAACAATAAACTACAAGGGGGTTAAGAGGGCCCTGCTCATAAGAATTAAATCAAATATAAGAGTGCGCTAAATCAACATATATAACGTCCATATATCAAATTTCAAAAAAATTTGAAAAATTCAAAAAAATTCCTCTACATACAAAAAAAGTCCATACATCAAATATGTGAAAATCCCAAAAAATTGTGACAAATATAATGAACTTTGTGAGTAATCCACCACCAAATCAATCAAAATGCACTCACAAGAGCTAAGTGCTGATCAGATTATAGACCAGCCTTTGCGCTTTTGCTCTGGGAGCGTGGACCCCAACCAACTCCAGAATTTTGATGTAATATTCTGCGGTATTAGAATCAAGCTGATAAATACCCTTCTATATAGGCAAGGAATGAGGAGGAATACTCTGCAGCCACTCTTCCATGAGTGGACAATCACCACGACTCCATGTATATCGGGACCATATTCAAAAATAAAGGAGAATATAATAGTGCAGCATGTTTAACCAGCGTCTGTTTATTAAAATGTAAAATCCACTCACAAATGCAGTGTCTAGGCTGACACCGGCTTCAAACACATAGGCACAACAGAAAATCCCGCTCCGTCTACTCAGCTGTCACTCGACATTAGCAGGGAACGTACTGACATCCGCATCCGACAGGCCACGCCCTACGCGTTTCGTCACCACAACGTCCTCACGGGGCGGTACCATCTAATAGTCTCCTAGATTGTAAGCTCGAAAGAGCAGGGGCCCTCAATCCCCTCATGTTTTGAATTGTATTGGTATTGTTCTGTCACATGTTCTGTCCCCCTCTGTAATGTACAGCGCTGAGCGAACTATTGGCGCTTTATAAATACTGTATAATAATAATAATAATAGTCTGATCCAGTGGTCTCCAAACTGCAGCCCAAGGGCCAGATGCGGCCCTTTGCTTGCTTTTATCTGGCCCTTGGGACACTATTTCATCCACTGATACCAACAATGGGGCATATTTCCCCCCACTGACACCGACGATGGGGCACGATTCCTCCCAATGATACCAGCGATGGGGCACTTTTGAGTGTCAGCTTGCTCCCTTATAATCCTGATTTCACAGGTCCAGCAATAACAACACACTTTGTAAGAGCTAAGCGTGTGAACTATTCTATGAACCAATTCTAGATAGAGTCACCCTTTATTACACACACAGATGTGAGGCACAGACTCCTTGGCTTGAGAGATAGCAAAAGGAGTCTTGATGGGCAGGGGTCTTGAATCTTCAACTAGCTCAATAGAGGCCCAAAGAGATTGCTGTGCAATAGTGGTTAATATAAATAAATGATTCCTGGTGAAGCCAGGAAGATGTATGGTAAAGGTGTCTGCACGCAGTGTCCCTCAGTGAGTAGTGTACACAGTGTGGTCTTCTGCATTTATCTCTCATACATGTCGCATCCAGGGGTGGACTGACCATTTGAGCATATGGGCACTTCCCGAGGGCCCGGGGTCAGTAGGGGGCCCCATGAAATGCCCCTGTTACCTTTTTATAGGATTTTTTGGGTGTGCTTTGAGTGTGGGCAGGGACACGGGCCCCATGATTCCCTATTGCCCGGGGGCCCCATGAGTTTTCAGTCCACCCCTGGTCGCATCCCCTCAGTCTGGAGGAGTTGCAAAATGTGTCCTGGGTGAAATTCTAAGTATGTGCATGTCATGTGTGAAAAATTACTTATTAAATTGAAATAAACTTTGGGTAAAAAAAAAAAATACATTTTCATTTTCTTTCCACATTTTCCAAAAAACTTGTGGCAAAAAATGAAGTCTTCAAAAGACTCCCCATGACTCCTTTAAGATTCCTTTGTTTAAAATGTGGTCATTTTGTGGGTGTTTCTACTATTCTGCTGCTCCAGGGCCTCAAAAATGTGAAAGGCAGGCAGGAAATTAGATGCATAATGTATGCCCCTGGAAAGAGTAGAACTACAATACATCTAAGCACTACACACCAAAAGTGCTTTTCATTCATTTTTAATATTCAAAGCAAATTCACCCATCCATCTATGTCTCCATGCTTTATTTTGCTGAGAAATCTCTTTGAAAACACCCCCTAGTATTTCTGACCGCTTTTAGGCTGTATTAGTAAATAGATAGGAAAGTATATCTATAGTTACTTGTTTTTTAGTACATTTTTTCAGTTACTTCCTGGTATAGGCCATGAATCATCTGCCTTTACTGAGGATGGTCATGGCCAGAAATACTAGGGGGGTGTTTTTCAAAGCGATTTCTCAACAAAATAAAGTATGGAAACATGGGTGGATAGGTGAGTTTGTTTTGAATATTAAAAATGAATTAAATAGCATTTTTGGTTTGCAGTGCTCAGGTGCGGTGCAGTTCCACTTTAAGGTGCTCCCTGGATTTTGGGCCTCATTATATGGCTAGGTTGTGAAAAAGTCTCAGACGTGTGGTATCGACATACTCAGCAAGAGTAGCAGAATGTGTGCTGATGTGTATTTTTAGTATGTCTATGCTGTATATGAGAAATATCCTATTAATTGACAACTGCATGTAAAAAATACATTTTCTTTCCATATTTTCCAAAAACTTGTAGCAAAAAATTACAGGTTTTTTTCTTTCCAAAATGTGGTCATTTTGTAGATGTTTCCACCGCCTTGGTGCTTCTGGGCCTTCAAAACTGTGATAGGTAGTCAGGAAATTAGATGTGTAATTTATACCACTGGAACGCCTGAAGGTGCTTCCTTGGATTTTGAGCCCTCTATGTGGCTAGACTATGAAAAACTCTTATACATATGGTATCCTCATACTCGGGGGACAACGTTGCCTGTGGGTGCTTGCAATGAGGCAGCTAAGCCTAAGCTTCTTGTAAATATACGAATATGCAGTGTAAGGATAACTACACTCAACAGCAAATAAACTATGTACAATTCTCAAAGTTAGTCTTCTGCTGACTACATTGGGACCCTTGAAGACTCTGGCACACGTATTGGTGACAGGTAATCCTGCACTTGGTGAGAAGAGCCTAAGAAAATAATAATGGATTCCTGTGCAGAGGGGGCCAGATAACAAGTTAGGGCTTGGTGATGTAAACCCTGACCAAGCAGGACAGACAGTGACTAAAAGCAATTAAATAGAGACTTAGGAGATGGAAATGAAGCTCATGATTCTCAAAGGATAGGTTCAGTGTCAGCTATAGAACAATGATGGGTCAAGGGCACAATCACCAGCTCTCTAATTTATGGCAGCAGACTGTACCATTGGAAGGGCTTCTGCTTGGTGTGAAGATGATGTCCACCAGCTTCTTACAGCAATCTAATGGATGGTTGTCCAGACTGGCTCAGAGAACAGAATGATGGCTTTCCTGGAGTGGACCCAAGTGGCAGTAGGACTGAACCACTGTACAGTGCAGTATGCATGGTTCCCCTACAGCAGATGGACATTCCTCAAGGCAGTATCCATCAGGCAGCGGAGGAGTGCAGACACTCTGAAGATCTCAGTGTAGCAATCTGCAGAACTTGTGAGCAGCTTTCTGGGTAGTGCAGACCCGCCAGTGGCTCAGGGGTAAAGTCTCAAATCCATCCTCCTTGGTTCTCCCTCTCTCCCTCTTGGCAGCAACTCCTCTCAGTCCACTCTAGTTGGGGCAATCCCCCAACAAGCCCCACTCTTTCCATTTAAAGCCCCTCCCTCTAACTCCTCCTGCCTCCTAGGTGTGTTGGGAGTTTTTTAGTTTCTCACTCACTCACTGTTTACAACCCAGACTACACCTCCCAGCATTCCTCTTGTTCTGTATTATGAATCAAAGGCAGGGTATGCTCAATATCTCCATGCCATATAAGAAAGAGGGGACTGCTTCAGGCAATCTTAAAATAATACATTTTAGGTCCTACGTTATTCACTAACAGTGGCCCTGATTACAAAATAAAAAAGGAAATGGCAAGAAAATATTACATTTTGATCACCGGCCTATTTGATATTTTCTGAGCATATGGTGAATGCTTATTGGAGGTTGCAGGCTGTGTGCATGTCCCGCAAGCTGGCTCTTTTATAGCTACAGTTTAATTTGTCTATATTTTACCTTTCTTAGTTCCTCCTTTCCCTCCTCATCAACATGCTAATGTTATGTTTAAATAAAACCTTTCTGTTTTCATGTCATATTATACCTTATTTTAGATCAAGAGATGTCATCACTGGGACTATACAATGCAGGCAGATCATGGATGGTGGTAGGGGCAGGAGATTGCTGTACAGCACCCTGTCCCATTACTCTTTTCAAGAGTCATATGTCATGACACAAACAGTGGGGTGGCTCTTGTTAGGAATTTTGTGAAGCACCCCGCTAGTTAGCCAGGAAGAGCTAGCTAGAATTTTAGTAGAGAGTGGATAGCCTCCTGGACATGAGTCAGCCTGGGTGTGAGTCAGCCAGGTCACTTTAGGTCAGGGCTGAGGACCCTGCAGATCAGTTCCCTGATACCTCACCCTGCTCTAGAGACTTGAGAAGTTTCTAGAAGGCAGTGAGTGAGGGTAAGGAGTGCCTGATTTGCATACTTAAGGAACTCTAGCCAATCCCCAAGCAGGAGGCTTGACATAGGGCCAGGGCAACCCTTAAGTGTGACTGAGCCTGCTCAGCAGCAGGAGAGTGCTGGGTGGAAGATGAAGTGAAGGCTGGAGTGTGGAGCCTGTTAAGGGGCCCAGGGAGGGGCCTACTTACAGGCAGAGTTTCTGGACAGGAGGATTTCTCAGACTCACCATTTCCTGAGAGAGGACATATTGAAAAGCAGGGAAGAAGCCAGCCCAGCGTAAGGCCTGAAGGCAGCTACCAACCCATGAGCTTACAGGAGAGGACTGAGTGAGTAATCCCACACCCCTGGGCCAGATAAGGGGAGAGGGCATTCTGGTAGGATACCTGATCTGATGGGAAAGTTCTCCATTTAAAGTAACATATTCTGGGACCCCTTGCCCAGGGATTCCTTCAGGCAGCTGGATGAAGAGGAGAATTCTGAG